ATACATACATATATATATATATATATATATACACGTACCTACAACACCTGTGCCAAAGTCTTAGAAATGAAATATTTTTGGTTTCACATGGTTTTGAATTTTTCTTAAAACCATTTCCAGTAAGTTTTAGTGACTTAATGACTCAAAATATGTAAAGTAAAATGTTTTAAACAAAAATAAATGTTTTAATCAATAATTAAATCTAAATCATTCATTTAAAAATATATTTTTTAAGGTAAAAAGTATTTTTTTTCATATATAAAGACTTCTGATTCATAGAAATATGGAAATATGGAAATATAAAGACTCTAATTTATATATATATATATATATATATATATACACACACAATATAATTATAATAAATAGTACAATTATATAAGATGAATATAATTAATATTAATATTTAAAGCAATTAATATAAACATCTTTGTATGTATGAATTGCATTTGTTAATGCATTTCTGAATAAATTAATAGATAATATGAAGAAAATAAGCAACATAACACTGACCCATAAATCACTACATTTGCACATTAAAATCAGATTTTTTTTTTTTTTACTCAGTGAGGTTACAACACACGGCTCGATACTAAAGTTCCCTCACAAGATTAAAGGGACTAGATCTGTCTTACTGTAGATGCAGGAAACGTGCATTGGGTCACATGCAGCAATGGCAAACTAGTCATACTGAGTGATTGGCAGATACCAGACATGAAGGGTGGGTGGGTTTGAACTATGTTTGGTGACCAGCAAAGAGCAAAACTGACTCAGACACAACAAGGATCAACACACCGGCCTGCAAGATGAGGCGACAGAAGGAGAAAACAAAACAAGTTAGAAGTGAGCAAACAAAAAAAAAGGAAAAAAAAGGGAGACATGGAAATGAAGTGGGAGAGGAGGAACAGAACAAGAGTTGGTGAAATCTGAAGGGAGCAGGCCTCTCGGAACAGGCAGGGCCGTGATGGGAGAGGGATAGTCTTATCTAACCCCATCCACGCTGTAACGGTCAGAGCTTTCATGGCCTGCTGAGGGAGGAGCGACAGCCGGAGGAGAGAGATAGAACTGTGGACATGAGTAATCAGAGACAAACAGACGAGACCATACTCTCCTCCTCACTCTCTCCCATAACAGCTCTATGACAGAATGACAGTCTGCATTTTAACTCAATCCATCCATCCTGTTCCTCAAAGCTCAGAGTCTCATATAATGAACAGGAAACAGCTTCTTATCGCACCACTGGAGGACTGTGTGGCCTCTGCAAAAGCACAGAACTAGACATAATGCACCAAAAATAAATCTACTATACCGCTCTCAAAGAAGCTGCCATCTTTCCTGACGTCATCATGACATATTGATGAATACTTTCAAATAAGAAAGAATGCTCTCTGTAACGAAAAACAGAGACTATAAAGAGTTACAGAAATGGGAAACTGACTATACGGTTGGGAAAATAATTATTAAAATAAATAATAATTATAAAAATAATATCATTTTTTAAATAATATTTAATCATTTCCTTGTTATATCAACATCTGTTTTCTTGCATTTGCAATGTTATAGGGTACATTAATAACGTTAGTGTTGTTTTTGAATACTCATGTGATCTGAAAGTGTTTTTCACTTAAAGGGGTCATATGATGCGATTTCATTTTTTCCTTTCTCTTTAGTGTTACAAGTTCTTGGTGCATAAAGAAGATCTGTAAAGTTGCAAAGACTAAAGTCTCAAATCCAAAGAGATATTCTTTATAAAAGTTAAGAGTTAGCCACACCTACCTAAAACGGCTCGTTCGAACACGCCCCCACATATCTACGTCACTATGTGGGAAGATTTGCATAACACCGCCCAAATGTTCACACAAAGAAAGAAGGCATAACTTTTATTCTCACTGTAGTATCGTTGCCGCTGCCGCCATGTCCTGAAGACGCTGTGTGCTTCGTTGTGAAAGCGAAACTACTTTGTTTGGTCTTCCAAAAGAGGACGATATCCGCTTCATCATGCCTAGAGCTGATCCGTGCTGGTAGCTGAGGAAATACATCAACTTCGCGCTGTGGATCGCCGG